GCTGCCCCACCCTAGCTCCAGGCCCCCAGGTCTTGTGTGACAAGTCTTCGAGCCAGATTGATGGTTTGTGGCCCCCAGCCAGGCGCCCAGCCCCAGGCCTCCGAGAAGTTGAAAAGAGAGAGGGGTCCAAGTCCAACACAGCCTGCACAGCCTTGCAGTACCTCCCCAGAAAGTTGGACTGGAGGAAAGGGGGTTCCTCCTCTTCCTCTCGAGAAGGTGGTAGACACGCATCCTGCAGGAGCCTGCTAGCCTTCTTCTACTGCAAACCAAACTCCAGTGTCCAGTGACTCCAATGGCCCCTTGAGGTCCCACCATTTCTCAAAACTGGAAAATCTGGTTCTCAAGCCTGACCAGGCTGCGGCTGCTCAGAGCCAGTTCTCTCCTCACACCTGCCTGTCTTAAGGCAGCCTGAATGGCAGCCAGAAGCAGCCCTCACCGGCTTGGTCTGAGGCCGACTGGCCTCTGCAACCCTCCTCCCCAGTCCACCTCTCCTCAGGCTTTGTCAATCACTTCGCCAACCAGTGGGGCAAGGTTTGGAGAAGAAGGAGCCACATCAGATGCTCGGATAAAGCACGACTGGATTTGCTGCTTGGAGGGATGGGTGGGCCCAAAGAATGCCTCAGCCTGGGCCAGGAGCAGTGGCTCACACCTGTAATCCCAACACTTTGGGAGGCCAAGGCGGGCAGATCACCTGGGTCAGGAGTTCGAGAACCATCCTGGCCAACATGGTGAAACCCTGTCTCTACTAAAAATACGAAATTTAGCTGGATGAGGCGGTGCACACCTGCAATCCCAGCTACTAGGGAGGTTGAGGCCGGAGAATTGCTTGAACCTGGGAGGCAGAGGTGGCAGTGACCCAAGATCACACCACTGCACTCCAACCTAGGCGACAGCGAGACTCCATCTCAAAAAAAAAGAATGCCTCAGCCTGAAGACATCCAGGGTTAAATTGCTTACAGAGAATTCCTACTGTGTGGCCATTTTCCCTGTATAAGCTGACATGGTGTTTTTGTTTTGTTTTGTTTGAAGTGCTTTAATATCCACCCTTCACTGCCATACCCAGGGAGTGTGGTAGGCAAGGAAGCCTACCTTATTCCACGGATGAAGAGACTGAGCAATCAGAGAAGTTAAGGTCAGACATCAAGGATAACACAACTCCCCTACACCCATAGACAACCTTGGCTCTTCCTGCAAAGATGGGTTTATATACTATGTCTTATCTCAAAGCCTATTGGGTAAAGACCATGGAAATTCTGGTTCTTCCAAATAGTTAACATTTACTGAGCACTCACTACATGCTAGGTGCCAAGCTAGATCCTTACACAGACTGCTTCACTTAAACCTCCACACAACTCTATCGGGCAAGAACCACTATCATCATTATTTCCCCATTGATACCATCTGGCACACAGCAGGTAAGCTGACTCATCAAGATCTCAACAGTAAACAGAGGGACCAAGGTTTGGACTCATGGTGCACCCAGTACACATTTATCTGCAGAGGCTGGGCCAGGTACAACCCCAGGATAAGTGGTCATCTGAACAGAAAGCATTTCATCACCTTCCCCACCCCCAAGCCTGAAGTTGGGAGCCATGTATGATGCCATTTAGCCCATTTGTCAGAGACAGTTCTAGATCAGGCCACCTACAACAGGCCTGTCCCTGTGCTCTGCACTGGAATTCAGCAGAGAACAGGACAGGCCAGGTCCCTGCCTCCACGGACACTGGCATGGGGTAAAGCTGGAAGGAGTGCAGAACAGCGAGGAGTTTGAGAATGAGGAGGAGAGCCAATCCTCTCCCCTTTCCAGTTTTATTTCTACCAGGCATCACCCTGGCTTTGGATGTCCCATCCCTCCCCAGGTAAACTCTTCTACGTCAGGTCCTTCCCTCTCTGTATTCCTCCACGCTGAGTGCTAGCTCCTGCAATGGCCTCGCTGTCCAGAAGCAAGTGTAAACCACGTGGCCCCTCTTCCTGTGACCCAGCCTCACCTGCCTGCAGAATCAGGATGTGGGCCTTATTCACAACCACCTCTATTCACCTGCCAATGCTGCCGCTCCGTTTCAACATCCATTCGCTTAACAAATACTAAGTTCCTACATGTAAAAGGCCCCAGGCTGGCACCTGTGGACACATACATTAAACCAGAATCTCCAGGACTTCAGAGGGAAGAGAGAAAATAAAATTTAATGGCAGAAGCTATCATTTTACATATCTGCTCACATCAAGCCAGCAAGGTGGGTATTAGCTCTTTTTTATAAGTCAGGAATTGGAGACTCAGAGAGGAACTTGCCCAAGGTCATAAGCCTGAAAATGCAGAGCCAGGATCCCACTCCAAGTTGATGCTCTCTCCAGCTTGACCTATACTAGGTACACACATACACCTAAGAACATGAGTGAAATCACATAAAGGAGAAAACTGGGGGCTGTGGTCACCCTGAAAATAACAGCAACCCCTAGGAAAAGTGACTCCAGAGCCCAGCCTCGAAGATCAGAAAGATGAGGAAGGCTGGAAAAGTATAGGAAATGCCTCTAATCCACATGCTCCATCTGGAAGATAACTGCATTTTGTGTCTGGAGGCATGGCGACCAGCCCATTAACTCCATACCGAAGCATTCTTTGCAAGAGGGACAAGCCTTGGCTAAGCCAGAGCAGCTTCTTGAGTCATGCCTCCTGCCTGCACAGACTTCTCCCTGCATCCACGTCAGGCCATACCTTCACCAAGGAAGCATTTCTCAATGCGTCATGTAATCCGATTCCCTGGAAGAGTCCTGAGGGCTCTGAGGGGCAGAAATGTGTCCCATTTACAGAGGAGGAAACCTAATGGAAGCCACACGAGAACAGGAACTTGGTCTGTCTTGCTCAGTGCCTGACTCCTAATTCCTGGAATCGTGTCTGGCCCAGAATGAGCACTCACAAAGTATTTGCTGAATGATCTAATAAAAGCTCGATGAAAGGGAAAGACCTGCCCAAAGTCTCACAAATAGCCATGGCTACACCAAAGCTAAAAAGAGAATCTTCTCCCTCCTACCCAGTGACCTTTGTATCCCTCTGCCCTGTGTCCTCTTCTTCCCCTCCTTACTCACTCCCCTGCCTCCCTTTGGAACCATCAGCCTCTGTCCACTTGTGGGCTCTGGTCCCACACAAACCCCACCTCCCACTGTCAGTAGAGAGTGTGTCAAAAACAACACGTTTACCCTAAGTCTTATCCCTCACCCGTGATACCACCTCCTTAATGCCACCCTGCTGAGAACTAGACAGAACAGAAATTCTGCAGACTGAGGCCCACAAAAGATAATCTAGAGAATTAACAGGAAAAAAACTGTGGATCTGAATCTTCAGAGTCAGGCCCAGAGCTCCTTCTGCTGTGGTACCTCCATCAACCCTTGCCCAAAGCACATGTCAGCTCTCCTGGTTCTGAGAGTCTCTGGCTCTGGATGCCAGGCCCAGCTTTCCTGCCTCCCTCGTCAAGGCGGGACAACTGAGAGGAAGCTGCCAGTTCCAAATATGGCTGCACCTCAGCCCCACCAAACACCAGCCTGGACTTGGAGCTGGTTACTTCCCCTCTCTGGCCCTGATTTCCTCGTCCTCGTGCATGATGCTAACATCAGCAAATGCTAGCTCTTGGCACTGTCGAGTTTGCCTCCAGGATAACCCAGTTTCCCAGATCACCTCTTCCTACCCGGCTACCCAAAGGCCTGGGGCACACCCACTGCCACCCAGGTCAGAGTCCTGCGAATCTATATTCTTCTCCCCAAATGCATAACATATTCATTCATTCAGAAATAGTAAGTACTATGTGCATGCTGATGCTCAGTGTCTGTCCCCAGGAACTTGGTCTCACAGTCCTTTCAGGTGTCCAGTTCCTGGGCAGCTCTGTTACTCCTGCCCCTCCGAGGCACAAAGCAGGTGCTCCCCAAACAGGGATTTCTTTTTTGTTTCTAACCTTCAAAGAAGACCTCAAGGCATCTATCGCCTTAATCTCACTTCCGTCTAATTTAAAATCCATTCTCAAGAAGGCTTCACCCTGAAATTATTAAAGCGCCTTCTGCCTGGTGCCCCATAGGGATCTCCAAATTACCCACTCACTTTTCAGCTCCACCCACAGCACCCATGGTCCCAGGAAATAAGCCAAGTGAGTGGGGGTCCATCTGCAGCCCCCCCTCCCCCAGTCCTCAGTTCTTACTAGGAAGATGACAGGAAGAGGGGGAGTTTAAGCAACTGGCACATTACAAAGAAGTCAGTTCCAAGTCAGGGGACCTTCCCATGTAGGTCCGATGTAGATGACCGATGTCGCCGTATAGGGCCCGGCCCTCCACAGGCCTTGGGCAGCGGGGCCCAGGTCATCCCGCTTTGAGGAAGCCCATTGTGTGTGTTTTAGATTACTTCTGCCTGTCTGATGAAGTGAGTAAAACGGCTCCGTTTCAGGGCCTAGGATTCCTGAGTGAGCTAATACAGGATGCCTTTGGCTGAAAAAAAAAACTTCAGTCGGCTCTATAAACTACCCCCCTTTTAAGTTTAAAAAAGGGAATGAATGTTACCATTTTTGGACATGAGCGTTCTCCCTCAAGCCCAGCCCTAACCGCACTATCCAGAGGGACGCGCCATCCTGCCCCCCCCACCAACCCCACTCCCAGATCAGCCTGGGGGTGGGGAGGGTATGAAACGGGGAGGGACCGGATGGAAGCGGGCAGCCGAGAGAAGGGGGAGGGAAGGGGTATTCAGGGTACGTGGCCGCCTGGGGGCAAGGGCTCACCGTGCAGGCAGGAAGCAGCGGTAGGGTAGAGGCCCCCCCCCCCCACCACCACGAGTGGTTTCTGACCTCTTCCTGCCACTGGCCACGGTGCCAGTCCCATCGCCAGCTCCGAGCCCAGCTCCCGCGGCGGGGCGCGCACCCGCACAACGCGCCTGCCTGGGATGCAGCTCCATGGCTAAGTAGGGATCCCCAGTGACTGGCCCCAAATATCCCCTAAGACAGACCCTCGTTCTAGAGCCCCTCAACTCGAACCGAGCTGCCCACCTTTGCTGGGGGTCGGAGGGGCAAGACGTAGACGCAAACCCTGTGGGACTTAACAGCTACCAACCCACTGAGTTAAGCAATAAAATGGTCTGCGGTCCTGACCCCGCCCCCACTGGGCCCGCGGGGGAGCCCGCGTACGCCCCCCAGTTTTCTCCGCCACAGCCGCACTCCAGCTGGTCCTTCTCTAGGCAGATCCAGAGGCGGCCGCCGATCTCTCCGGCGCTCTCCTTTCGGCCTGGGGGACCGCAGGGTCCCGGGCTGCCCACCGCTCAGGTACTGAACCCAGGGCGGCCCAGGAAGCGGCGCTGCCACCGCACGCCATATGGAGAGGTGGCCAGGGGCGGAAGGGAAGGGAAAATCGATCCGGAGCAAGCAGCCCGGAGCCGGGGTCTCAGCCCCAGCCTGCTGAGCACCGCCCCCGCGCACAGCCCACGCGGGGATGGCTGCGGCAGCCGCAGGGTGGCCTGGACCACCGACCCCAAGGAGACCTGCCCGCCGGCGGCACCACCTCCCCGCGCTCCGGCCCGGCGTTCGCGGGCTCCGGGGCAGGGGCGCTCCCGCTTCCGCCAGGCGCCTGTAACCCAACACCCCACCTCGCAGCGGCCGCGCCGCCCCCGCCCCTTCCCGTGCGCGCCCGGAACCGGTTCAGAGCCCGGGGCCGAAAGCCCGGTGGACAGAAGCGGTCGCGGCTGGGGGCTGCGGCGAGCGGGGGCAGCTGCTGACCTTTCTCTGCTGCTTCTCCCAGGCGGGGTCCAGGAGCAGGTCCCGGTCCCAGTCCTCTTCGGGCTGCATGTAGTCGTTGGTTTGCTGAGAATCATAATGGTCCATGATGGTGCGCGCGTGCTAGGGGCTGGATTTCTTCCTCCACCTTCTCTCCGAGCTACGGCGGCTGCCCTGGCGTGGGAAGGGAGTAGGGCTGGGCTGGGCTGGCGGGGCCCGGGTCGCTCCCCTGCGCCCGGTTCCGCCGCGGCGCTGCTGGCGAAGGCTGCTAGTGGCGGCGACAGCGGCGGCTGGGCTTGCGGATTGCCTATCTCTGGGCGGGCGCTCGGACCTAATCTCCACGCACACTAAGCGAGGCGGACACACTCGCGCTGCGGGAACCGAGGCGGGCGGGGGCGGGGGAAAGGGGCAGAGCCCTCCCGAGGCTCTCCATTGGCCAGGCCGAGTTGCCCAAACTTCCCCCCATCGCCTCTCATTGGGAATTCCTGGCATCCGTCAGCCGGGCTGCGGCGCATATAGGTGGACTGGGCGGCCCCCTCCTAGCGCGCACACCCCCGCCCACTCCCGCGGTGCCCACTCCCCCGCGGCTCATGTGACGCCAGCTTAAGCTGAACGGGACCGAAGCCGGGAGACGCCTCCCGAGCTCGGGGACCGAGTGGCAGCGCGCTCGGGAGCCCCAGGAGCCGCCGGGATTGGACCCGTTCCCCGCCACCGTTATTGCGCTCCCACGCGCGCTCCAAACCCTGGTGTGGGCGGGGGCTGGAGAAGGGACGCGAGGAAACCCGAAGAACATTCATTTTCTCTTTCCCAGGAAACCTGGGTCTGGGCAGGTCAGCACCCTAGGAAAGGGGGCGGGGTGGGGCAATGGAAAGGAATTTCTGGGGAATTTCATGACTCCACCGTTTCCCCTCACCCCCACAAGGCGCGACCCGGCTGATCCCTGCCCTGCAGAAGCCCGATTTCTCGCCAGCAAACTGCTCTCCGAGGCTACCCAGCGTTCCCGCCACGCCGCAGGAACCCTTCCAGCTCGCCCTCGAGCTCTGGGGACCCCTCCACAGCGGGGCCTCCTGGAATTCCCTGCCGGTCTCCGCGAGCACACTAGGCGGGCTGGTGCAGCCGAAACTACCTTCACCTGGCGGTGTCCTCCCTCTCCCTCAGAGACATCCCGACATCACCCTCAAAACTGGAAGGGAGGACCCTGAGTGACCTAGGTAAATCGACTCCCACATGCACACACCTGACAGATGGGGAAACTGAGGCTCAAAGAGCCGAGCGCAGAAAAGAGCTTGACTCCGCAGGCCAATCCTGTAACCTTATGCCTGACAAACAAAACCTTATAATTGGAGGAGGACGGACGGCGGGAGTGACTAAACAGCTCTAACTTCTGCCTGCCACCTGCCAGGATTCCCCTCCCCGGGTTTAGTAAGAGGAGAGTCAAACGCGCTGATGCCCGGGAAGGAGCAGGCCTCGAGTTCTGGTGGGCTCCTCTATGGGACCCTGGGGTCCGAAGAACAGTGGCAAATAAACCTCTCCTAGGTTATGCACTCTATTGTGAACAGCAGATGAGCCAGTCTTGCATGCCAGCCCGCACCCAGCACATAGTAGAGCTTAATTTATGCATTTGAGACTGGCTGCAGTGGCGGTGGCTCAGGCCTGTAATCCCAGCACTTTGAGAGGCTGAGGGGGGTGGATCGCTTGACCCCCTGGCCAACTTGGCAAAACCCCGTCTTTACTAAAAATACAAAAATTAGCCAGGTGTGGTGGCACACACCTGTAGTCCCAGCTACTTGGGAGGCTGAGATGGGAGAATCCCTTGAACCTGGGAGGTGGAGGTTGCAATGAGGCTGTTTTCATCAGTGCACTCCAGCCTGGACAACAGAACAAGACTCTCAAAATGTATACATACATATATGCATTTGGCCCTTTATAGCCACAGGTTTCAGTGCCTGCAGATACCTGGGCTGACTGTGAGGGGCTTGAGCATCCTCAGATTTTGGTATCCTTCGGGATACTGAAATCAATACCCTGCCAATATCAAGGGAGGACTGTATTTGTAGAAGGAATGGCTTGCATCAACTGCAAAAATTAAAATTAAAAATGCAAATATGTCAATTCAGAGGTGAGTGAAGGATTTGGAGGAAGATCACTGACAGGAAGGGCCTTGATTTAGGGGCTGGACTTTGTCCTCTACCTTCTCTCCAGGTGACGAGGGATACCGGAAAGGCCACCCATGGAAAAGGGGAAGAAAGTGTCCCCTGATTCTCAGAAGAGCCACCGCTGCTGTTGGTAAGCAGATATTAGGTGGTGTCACTGGCCACATCATTCATCAACCACAGACATTTGTGTGAGTGTTACCCTTCAGCACTGTGCCTTCCAGAAGCCCCTGGCTGAGGAAGCACTGCTTCTGAGCCACAGAGACAGCTGATTTATGGACTATTTTATCACTGCTTCTAAACTGTGGCACTAAACCTAACACAGAGGGTAATGGTAGTGCTGTATCCATCCATTCATTCACTCAATAAATATTTGCTGAGCACCATCTGCGTGTCAGGGAATGTACTAGATGTTATGTATATAGAGATGAAAAAGCCATAGTCCCTGTCCCACACAGCCCACCAGACAGGCACAGAAACAAAAATATGATGTCATGAGTTAGATGGAAGGAAAGAGATCTGACAAGGGTATTGTTGGAACACAGTGGAGGAGCACTGGACCGCGTGGGAAAGGAGGCTCCAGGCTTAACTTTTTGGAGGAGGTGAAACTTAAGTGAACCTTAAAGAATGAGAGTCAGCCAGATAGAGTGTGGGAAGTTATTCCAGGCAGAAGGACCAGCCTTAGCTAATGCACAGGGACAGGAAACTGCATGGTATACAAAGGAATGTCTAGCATCTCAATGTGGCTGGACTAGAAATCCAAGGCTGGGAGGGGTAAGAGATGGGGCCAGAGAGGTGCACAGCAGCCAGACCATGAAGGCCTCGTGTGGATCTAAGGCCAGGTGGAGTGTGGATCTAAGGGGAGCAAGGATGGCTGGAAGCTTTGGCACCAGTTGCAAAGCTGTTGCAATAATCCAGGTCAAAATGGAGAAGCATGGATAGACCAGAAATACTTAGGGGATGAGACCTAAGAGTTTGAGGAGACAGAATTGTTTTTGTTGAGAGATCCCATGTACTTTACCTGTATTAAGTTCCTCCTGTGAGGTGGGAGTTGTGTCTGTCTTACAGAGAAAACAAACTGAAGCTCGGAGAGGTAGTAACTAGTCCAAAATGGACCAGTATATGTGACTCCCAGACCCATGCCTTTAACTCCAGTGGTTCTCAACCCTAGGATATTTTAACAGCTCCCCCTCACAAGGGATATTTGTCGACGTCTGGAGTCATTTTGGGTTATGACAACTGGTGGGTTCCTACTGGCATCCAGTGGATGCAGGCTAGGGATGCTACTAAACATTCTACAATGGATAGGACAGCATCTCCACAACAAAGAATTATCCAGGCCGGGCACAATGGCTCATGCCTGTAATCCCAGCACTTTGAGAAACTGAGGGTGATGGATCACTTGAGGTCAGGAGTTCGAGACCAGCCTGGGCAATGTGGCAAAAACCCATCTTTACCAGAAATACAAAAATTAGCCATCCATGGTGGTGTGAATCTGTAGTCTCAGCTACCTGAGGGGCTGAGGCAGGAGGATTGCTTGAGTCCGGGAGGTCAGGACTGCAGTGAGCCATGATTGTACCATCACACTACAGCCTGGGTTACAGAGCAACACCCTGTCCAGAAATGAAAGAGAGAGAGAGAGAGAAAGGAAAGAAAGAGAAGAAAGAGAAAGAAAGAGAGAGAGAGAGAAGGAAGGAAGGAAGGAAGGAAGGAAGGAAGGAAGGAAGGAAGGAAGGAAGAAAGAAAGAAAGAAAGAAAGAAAGAAAGAAAGAAAGAAAGAAAGAAAGAAAAGAACGAACCAGCTGAAAATATCAAGAGTGCTGGGGTTGAAACCCTGCCTTAATCATCAGTTTGTAGTTTAGATAATCTGGTTGGGAACAGAATCATGGATTGAGTTTGAATACACTGAATATGGAGTGCTCTCAGAATGTCCAGATTCCGTGTCCAGCAAGCAGTTTGACTACATAGCCCTGACCTCAGGCAAAACAAGAGCTGAGAGTCATCTGCATATGGATGATATTAACACCATGAGACCACCCATGAAGAATGCCCAGATGGAGACGAGAAGAGGGCAGAACACTGAAGAGCAACACTTAGGGACAGCAAAGAACAAGAACCCCTGAAGGAAACAAAGAAAATGGCCATCCAGGAACAAGGAGAGCCTGGAGTATATGGTGTTCTGGTGGTCAAAGGAGTGAGGTTTCAAAGAGTAATTGACAATGTCAGATATGCTTTAAAGGTCTGGAAAATAAGGCCTAAACAGTGTTCTTGTATATGACAGTTGAAAATTCATTGGGTGACCTTGGCCAATGGAATTTTGGCAGAGTAGCAAAAGCTGTAAGTTTTAAAGAGACACTAGGAGTGAATCAATGGAGACAGTGAATATAGAAGGAAAAAGAAGTAGCTAGAGGAGCAATAGCTAGAGGTAGGTTCTGAGACCAAAGGAGGATTTCTCTTAAAACTGAAAAATGTGAGCTGTTTGTTCTTTGAGAAAAAGAATTCAGTTAAGTAAGAGGAAAAAGTTGAAAATGTACGCAAAAGGGAGTTGAGGGAGCCAGGTGCAGTGGCTCATGCCTGTAATCCCAGAACTTTGGAAGGCCAACGCAGGTGGATTCTCCTGCCTCAGCCTCCTGAGTAGCTGGGATTACAGGCACGCGCCACCATGCTCAGGAGTTCGAGACCACCCTGGACAACATGGTAAAAACCAATCTTTACCAAAAATACAAAAAATTAGTCAGGCATGGCGGAGTGCACCTGTGGTCCCAGTTACTTGGGAGGCTGAGGTGGGAGGATCGCGAGAGCCTGGGAAGTTGAGGCTGCACTGAGCCATGATTGGGCCACTGCACTCCAGCCTGGGTGACAGAGCCAGACTCTATCTAGAAAAAAAAAAGGAAGGCCAGGCGCCGTGGCTCAAGCCTATAATCCCAGCTCTTTGGGAGGCCGAGGCAGGTGGATCATGAGGTCAAGAGATCGAGACCAACCTGGTCAACATGATGAAACCTCTTCTCTACTAAACATACAAAAAATTAGCTGGGCATGGTGGTGTGTGCCTGTAATTCCAGCTACTCAGGAGGCTGAGGCAGGAGAATTGCCTGAACCCAGGAGGCGGAGGTAGCAGTGAGCCGAGAGGTACCATTGCACTCCAGCCTGGGTAACAAGAGTGAAACTCCGTCTCAAAAAAAAAGAAAAAAAGGAAAGTAGTTGAGGGTCAGCACAAAGTTCTTGAGGAGATAGGACCATATGGGTGCAAGGACACAGGCTAAGGGATGAGCCACGGAACAAGAAGAAAGCCCCTAACGTGGCTGGGTATGGTGGATCATGCATATAATCCCAACACTTTGGAAGGCTGAAGCAAGCGGATTACTTGAGCCGAGAAGTTAAAAACTAGCCTGACCTCCCAGCACTTTGGGGGGCCGAGGCGGGTGGATCATGAGGTCAAGAGATCGAGACCATCCTGGTCAACATGGTGAAACCCCGTCTCTACTAAAAATACAAAAAATTAGCTGGGCATGGTGGTGCGTGCCTGTAATCCCAGCTACTCAGGAGGCTGAGGCAGGAGAATTGCCTGATCCCAGGAGGCGGAGGTTGCAGTGAGCCGAGATCGGGCCATTGCACTCCAGCCTGGGTAACAAGAGCCAAACTCTGTCTCGGAAAAAAAAAAACTAGCCTGACCAACATGGTGAAACCTGTCTCTAAAAATACAAATATTAGCTGGATATGGTGGTTTATACCTGTAGTCTCAGCTACTTGGGAGGCTGAGGTGGGAGGATCATTTGAGCCCAGGAGGGAGAGGTTGCAATAAGTGGAGATCGCACCACTGCCCCCCAGCCTGGGTGACAAGAGTGAGACCTGGTGTCAAAAAAAAAAAAGAGAAGAAAAGAAAAAGACCCTCATCTGAGAAGAGAGGAGGGGGAGTGATAATGAGTGAGGATGCCCACGGTGTGTGGGAAGATGGTCAGGAAGCGCATGGAAACAATAACTGATGAACGTATCTTCTCAATAAGGGAGGCCTTGAGGATGGATCAAGGTAATGGACTGACCCATCTTCTCACTCATGGCCATCACACTGTCAGATGGTACCGGGACTTTAGTCTCAGTATAACACAAACTTTTTTAGAGAGAACAAAGTTGCTGAAAGTGTTGAATCTTTAGGGATGCTAATGTATATGCATATTTATAACAGCCATTCTCTTTTTAAAATTGGACATAACAGAGTCAAAAATGCATTAATCAAGTACACTGATCTTACACATCACTCAGTAGAATTTTAGTAATCTACACCTGTATAACCTCTTTTCCGGTCAAGATATAACTTGTTTCTAGCACCTCAGTTTTTCTCATGCCTCTTCCACTCTATACTTCCAGTTCATAGAGGTGCCCACTCTTCCGACTTCCTATCACCAATGATCATTTTTGTTCATGAGCTTTTTATAAACACAGTATGTATACTTTGGTTTCTGGATTTCTTTTTTTCTTTTTTGCTCAGTTTAATGTCTATAACATTCATTTATATTGTGGCTTGTATCAGTAGTTAATTTGCTTTTGTTGTTTAGCATTCTATTTTATGAGTAGATCCTAAGAAATTTATCTATTCTCCCATTGATGGGTATTGTTTCCAATTTAGAACGTTAATGAATAAAACTATGAACATTTTTATGTGTGCTTTCTGTGAACATACACATGCATATCTCCTGGATATTATACCTAAGAATGGAATTGTTGATCAGGTGTGATGGCTCACACCTGTAATCACAACACTTTGGGAGGCCAAAGCAGAGGAGGATCACTTGAGTCCAGGAGTTCAAGACAAGCCTGGGCAACATAATGAGACCCCATCTCTATAAAAAACACGAATAAAAATAACAATAAAAAAGTAGAGGCTGGGTGTGGTGGCTTACGCCTGTAATCCTGGCACTTTGGAAGGCCAAGGTGGATGGATCAAAAGGTCAGGAGTTCAAGACCAGCCTAGCCAACATGGTGAAAACCTGTCTTTACTAAAAATACAAAAAAACTAACCAGGAATGGTGGCAGACGCCTATAATCTCAGCTACTCAGGAGGCTGAGGCAGGAGAATTGCTTGAACGTGGATGGTGGAGGTTGCAGTGAGCTGAGATCGTGCCATTGCACTCCAACCCAAGCAACAGTGTGAGACTCTGCCTAAAAAAAAAAAAAAGAATAGGATTTCTGGGTCATAGGGTAGACATATGTTTCACTTTAGTAAATGTTGGCAAACTCTTTTTCAAATTGGATGTAAGAATTTACTCTCCAAGAAGCAGGATGGGAGAATTTCAGTTGTTCCACATCCTCCTAACACCTGGTATTGTCCCTTTTCTTTTTCTTCAAAGTTTACCATTTGGTGGATGAGTAGTGATCTCTTTTTATGGATTTAATCTTTTCAAATGCACAATGATAATCTGAATTAAAAATGCCCATTCCTGATACCATCGATTCTAATAGCAATTAATTCTCAATTTATTAGCTGCTTAAGGTAAGGGACAATGGCACACATATTTTGTTAATTCCCCAAATTTCATTCATTCATTCAACAAATACTCATCATGCCGGTGTTCTGTGCCTAGCACTGTGCTGGAAATAAAGGCACAAGAGTGGCCAAGACAGAGGTAGCCCTGTCCATCTTAGAATAGGCAGTTAATGCTCTATAGTCAGTGAATGATTGTTTAGGGAGAAGGCTATTAGGTCCTGTGTAGAAGCTGTTTTGTTTTGGTTTGCTTTGGTGAGAAGCTGAAAAAGGTCTGCTTTATATGACTTTTCAATTAAAAGTTTAATAGAAACAGCTCTTACAAAAGGTGAGGTGTGGTGGCTCATGCCTTAATCCCAGCACTTTGGGAGGGCCAGGCAGGCAGATCACTTAAGATCAGGAGTTCAAGACCAGCTTGGCCAACATGGCGAAACCCCTTCTCTACTAAAAATACAAAAATTAGCTGGGTACAGGGGTGCATGCCTATAATCCCAGCTACTTGGGAGGCTGAGGCAGGAGAATTGCTTGAACCTGGGAGGTGGAAGTTGCAGTGAGCCAAGATAACGCCACTGCACTCCAGCCTGGGTGACGGAGCAAGACTCTGTCTCAAAAAAAAAAAAAACACACACACACAAAATCCCTGGGATTACGTGTTCAGCCAGAGTGGAGTGAGGTTAGACTATGAAGGAAAATGGGCAAAGTGGAGAGATTCATCTGGGAAACAATACAACTCTTTTCTTCTCAGAGGCTCAGCCTGTATTGTCCTTTTTTCATCCATCCTTGGCATCTCTCTGTGTGCAATGACAAAGGAAGGAAGATTGTGGGCAGTTCTTGCCAGAGTTCTTGTTACACCAGTGGGTGTGAACTGAGACTCAAGAAGTTTGCTGAAGTCAGTGGCAAGGAGAATTGAAATTCCTTCTACCAGTCAGAGTCTTTCTGCAGAGCTTCTCAAGGAACGGGAAACTCCCAACTAAGCAGCAGCAGCTGAGACCACAGCCTAATTCATCAGCAGCCCTCCAGGCAGCTGTGCCACCACAGGCCAGCTGGCAATGAGTCACTCAGAGAGGCCTAGGTGCTTTGTTGTTGGAAGAACCTACCCTGGAGTAGATGACCCAGCTTCCCTTGGAAAGGAGGAATGATTATGTCTATGGGTTCTGGGAAGACTCATCCAACACCCACTTTGGGCCGGGCAGAATGCCAGGAGATTCAAAGGAGTCTCTCAAACCTCATGGTTTCCCTGGTACAAAGCCATAGGCTTCCTCCCCCAGAAGTCATCCATCCAACAGATAGTCACCAACAGGCATAATCTGAGAGGATAAAAATGAACTGGATTAGGCTGGGTGCAGAGGCTCATGCCTGTAGTCCCAGCATTTTGGGAGGCCCAGGTGGGTGGATCACCTGAGGTCGGGAGTTTGAGACCAGCCTGACCAACATGGAGAAATCCAGCTACTCAGGAGGCTGAGGCAGGAGAATCACTTGAACCCAGAAGGCAGAGGTTGTGGTGAGCCCAAATCAACCCATTGCATTCCAGCCTGGGCAACAAGAGCGAAATTCCACTTAAAAAAAAAAAAAAAAAAAAAAAAACTGGATTGACACATGACATAAAGAAGGGAGAATGCCAGCCCCATGCCTGGCATGCAATGGGCCACCTCAATGCTCATGAGTTTCTTTTCCACCCTGCTGTGGGTGACTGACCATGCAAGGCCCGGTGCAGAAATAGACAAGTAGGATCTGCGAGATTCTGGAAACTAAAAGCACTATGGACCTCCCGCCCAGAGACCTAGCCATTGCCTTCCTTGTGTCCTGAGCTCTTCTCTAACCTTACAGCCTAAGGGTAATAGGCTCCTATGAGCTCTTCCTAAGAGCTCAGGGCATGGTAGTCATTAGAGTGTTTGTAGAATGCTAGAAGGAGGTACGAAATAAATCACTATGGTTTTTTTGGTTTTGGGAAATAAATCACTATGGTTTTTTTGGTTTGGGGCTTGGGAAATCGGAAACCTTAGTTTTGTCCCCAGTCCCAGTAGCAATGTAATTAATGGACTTACCTTCCCTGAAAGCCCACAGCATACCATTTGTAACTAAGAGAGTATAGGTTGCTTTTAGTCCTTTGTCCATATTTTCTCTTACACTTTCTCTATGAAGCCTCACCCCTCTTCTTTCTCCCACTCAGTCTAACATGGGTCCTAGGACATCATAGGTGCTCCAGTTCAATATTCCCTGAATGAAAAATGGCATTGACCAAATTCCATCTCACTGCCTGTTTCCCCGTCAATCCATGGGAGGCTTGGGTAGGCCAGTCCTTCACCATAGTCCATGAAAGCACTTCCTAAGTTCTTAGGCCTCCTGAGAAGTTAGTGGTAGTGAAATTAAGTTGGCTGTTCCCCTTCCCATGCCCCAGCCAGCAGCCCTCAGCCAGCAGCCACAAGGATGAATTCCTCTGCACCAGCTTCTGCTTCATTGGAACTGTCTGCTGTAGGGCCAATTCCTCTCCCTCCCACCAGAAATCAGTGAGGCAGGGAGGGAGACACTCGGCAGTTTCCCTCAGGTGGGATCTCTAATAAGAGACTGGCAGAAAAGTTCCTGTTCTTCCCATACTCTGCCTAGCCCTCAGGTCTCAGGTGAGAGAATATCTGGCCTAACTGGTACACTCTTTTCCCTAGTGATAAGGCATATATATCTCCCCCAGATGCCAGGGATAGACCAACCTGGAACCTCAGTAATCTCTACCTTAGATGGCTACCTTGAGGTCAACTCTGGGAACAGAGCTAGTCAGGCTTGAGAGCTGCTCAGCCTGGGCCCTCCAAGAAGGGCTGGGAGCTCTTCCCCAACTACCTCTTGTTCCCAGCAAAAATCAGAGCAACACACCCAAATCACAGCTGAGAAAATAAAGACCTAAATAAATGGAAAGATGATTCATTATGTTCATAGATTGGAAGAATCAACAACCCTCACTTTAGTGCCTAACCTGCAACACAGCATTGGCCTTACAAGCTACATGTTCAGCCACTAGCTGAAAAGTCAGTCTGTCCAGATCACTTCCACGGAAATGATGGGATAGCTTTTAGGGGCAGGTATTGTTATGTGGGAAGCAGGATAAGGCCAGGAGACCTGAGCTCACTGGGCTTCAGCTTACTCATCTGCAGAATGACAGGGCTGGATTCCCCAGACAGTCTTTAAGCTCCTGGTGGTAAGTCCTGAATGCTGTTCTAAGAACATCTGTCTCCAGCTCCTCCTTCATATCTCCAGTGACAAGAGGATCTGAATCTTCTGAAACAGTGTTTCTCTACCTTGAATACTAAGCAAGATCCTTTAGAAAGGATGCAAACCCTCACAAAGTTACTTAGTTTTCATTTTATGTTCCCTAAATGTGGATGAACATAGAACTAGGCACAAAACTTCTTAAGGTTTGGGGCTTACAATTAACTATAAAATGAAAACAAGCTTACAAATTCTATTTAAAAGAAACTAGAAAACCAGTAAGATTCAAATTAGCCACATTAATTTAAATGTAACCGTTGCTATTTGCTGAAACAAAATTGCTACTCCCAGCATGATTTAGTTCTGACTGTGGCCAAGCAAGTGGTTCTTTCTGCCTTGGGGATGCGGGTATCACCACGCGCCAGGCAATGACTCAATTCTCCTACCACTTTCTCTATTTGAACTACTGCATCAGGGCATCATTTAACCTTCACTTAATGAGAACACACTGTAATGGATCAAGTTCCCTCTGCTGTTTTCTCATTAGCACTGAACAATTAAAGTTAAAATTTTTTTTAAATCTTTGTACCTACAGGATCCTTCTCTCAAATTTCAATGTCCTTATCTATAACACAGAGAGAATCACTTCCATCCCACCTAACTCACAGGATGGCTGCTCCATTCATTCATTCATTCAACTATTTTTTATTGAGTACCTACTATGTGCCAAACACTGTTTTGGCACAGTGGATGTAGTAGTGACCAGAATGGACACAAGTCCCTACCTCATGGAGCTTACATTTCAATTGGGAGAGCCTGGTAAGAAAATAAAGAAGTAAAATAATGTGATAGTGTTAGGCTCTAAGAAAAAAAAAATATGTGTGTGTGTGTGTGTATATACATACACATATATACATATATATATATACATATATATATATGGCAGAGAAGGGGAATTGAGGGTTTGGGGAGACGTAGAGGGAGTTTACATATTTTAAACGGAGTGTTCAGGGAAGGTTTGTTGAGTAGGTAGCATTTAAGACCTAAATGAGGTGAGAAAACACCTCATTTAGGTCTTAAATGAGGAACAGCCAAGAGATCACAGTAGCTGGCAAGAAATAATGCACATGAGACACACACGGAAAAGTACAATGCAGATGTGGGTATAACAGATACCTGTCGTTTTGCTGCCCAGCAACCATTTCCCCCTCCTGGCAACCATAACTTGATATTCCTCTGGGAGTGCAACTCTCCTGCTCCAATCCCTGGGCTTCAAGTAGAGTTGACCCCACACCTAGTCGACAGGGCTGGGCAAATGAAAGGTCTAGCCAATCAGAGCACAACGATTGGGTTAGGGCATGGGACCCAATCAGAATGAAGGACGCATAATGAAACCTTTTTTTTTCTTTGAGGCAGGGTCTTGCCCTGTCACCCAAGCGGTAGTGCAGTGGTGCTATCACGGCTCACTGCAGCCTTGACTTCCAGGGCTCAAACAATCCTACCATCTTAGCCTCCCAAGTAGCTGGGATCACAGGCATGCACCACCATGCCCAGCTTATTTACTTATTTATTTATTTAGAGACAGAGTCTCATTCTGACATTCAGGCTGGAATGTCGTGGCATGATCTCAGCTCACTGCAATCTCCACCTCCCAGGTTCAAGTGATTCTCGTGCCTCAACTTCCCAGGTAGCTGGGATTACAGGCATGTGCCATGATGCCCAGCTAATTTTTGTATTTTTAGTAGAGACAGAGTTTCACCATGTTGGCCAAGCTGGTCGCAAACTCCTGACCTCAAGTGATCCACCCACCTCGGCCTCCCAAAGTGCTGGCATTACAAGTGTGAGCCATCGTTCCCAGCCCCACTTAATTTATTGTTATATTTTGTAGAGATTGGGTCCCTATGTTGCCCAGGTTGGTCTCAAGCAATCTTCTTGCCTTAGCCTTCCAAAGGACTTGCTGGGATTACAGGTATGAGCCACTGCACCTGGCTTTCCCCTCCCCACCCCCACCATGAGACTCTTGCTGGCACGCCTGGGAGAGGGGCACAAAGTCTTCCCCAGCAGTAAGGATGATGTGAGCCTGGACCTTTCAGAAGTCACCACATGGAAACTGAGAAAAAGGCCAATGCAAGAGACGACCCATCTAAGAGGTGAAGAGAAACGAAGTCTCAGTGACATTTTTTATTTTTTATTTTTTTGAGATGGAGTCTCACTCTGTTGCCCAGGCTGGAATGCAGTGGTATGATCTCAGCTCACTGCAACCTCCACCTCCTGAGTTCAAGCGATTCTCCTGCCTCAGCCTCCTTAGGTTGCTGGGATTACAGATGTGTACCACCACATCCAGCTAATTTTTTTGGATTTTTAGTAGAGACAGGGTTTCATCAAGTTGGCCGGGCTGGTCTCAAACTTCTGACCTCAAATGATCCACCTGTCTTGGCCTCCCAAATTGCTGGGATTACAGGCATGAGCTACCTCATCCAGCCCCCAGTGACATCTTTTGATGACTCGTATCTAGTTATCTCTACCTCTAGTCTCCACAGTTACGTACACCAGTTAGTTCCCTTTTTTGCTTAAGCTGGTGTATTAGTTAGTTATCTATTGCTACAGAATTTAGGGGCTTCAAAGAACAAACATTTCTTATTGCACAGTGTGTGTGGGTCAAGGATTTTGGAGCAGCTTAGTGGGGTGGTGCTGGCTCAGGGTCTCATATAATTTCAGACTGAATGTTAGCAAGGACTCTGGAGGCTTGACAAGGCCTGCAAGGATGTGAAATCACATGCTGGTCCACCTATGAGTCTTTTGACAGAGCCTTCAGTTCCTTGCCATTCAGGCTGTCCTTCGGCTGTTGGAGTGCTCAGAACATGACAGCTGGCTTCCTCCAGAAGAGCCACTTGGGAGAGGGCCAGTAAGGGGTAAGCCTCCATGCCTTTTATGACCTAGTCTCTGGAGTCACACATGATCACTTCCCACTTATTCTATTTGTCGGAAATGAGTTATCAAGTCTAGTCTGCACTCAAAGGGAGAGGCATTAGCCTTTACCACTTGAAGGGAGGAGTATCAAATTTACGGACATCTTTTCCCTCCCTCCTTCCCTCCCTCTCCCCCTCCCTTCCTTCCGCTCTTCCTTTTTGCCTTCCTTCCTTCCTTCTTCCTTCCTTCCTTTTTCTAACTGTATCTCACTATGTCACCCAGGCTGGAGTGCAGTGGTGCAATGACAGCTCACTGCAGCCTCAAACTCCTGGGCTCAAGCAATCCTCAGCTTCTGAGTAGCTAGGACTACAGGAATGCACCACTACACCTGGCTAACTTTTTTATTTTCTGTAGAGAAGGAGTTTCACTCTGCAGACTGGTTTCAGACTCCTGGCCTCAAGTGATCCTTCCACCTCAGCCTCCCAAAGTACTGGGATTACAGGCATAAGCCACTGCACCTGGCCCTGCAGACATACTTTCAAACAATCACACCTAACTTGAGTTTGGTTTCCTGTCACTTGCAACTAAGAGATTTCTGATAGATATTCAGGAGTTTATCAAGTTGTGTTATTGTTGTCAGAATGCGACTCTTGGTGAAACAAACCCAAACCAACAACCAAGGAAGTGCTAACAAAGCACATTTTATAAATGCTCATTTGACCCTGTCCTACCCAAGCTCAAAAACTCCCAAAGGTCCTCATTGTCCATAGATCCAAATTTCTTTACTTTGGGCACAAGGCCCTCACAGCCTGGTCCCAGTCTCTCTCTACCACTCTCCTATACATGCCTTGCTCCAAAATCCCCAAGCTCCTTGTCCTTCTCTGAAGATGCCATATTTTCATGTCTTCGTGCCTCTGTCCATGCTGTCCTGTCCATCTTACCTTGCATGTATTCAAGCTAAATTTCAGCTGCCATCCTTGCCTGGGGCCCAGAGGAGATCAGTTTCATCTGGGGTTTCACATAGCTCCCCCACCCATCTCTCAAAATCCAACACAAATGTTACCTCTTCAGTGAAGATTTGGCTTCCAGCAAAAAAATGACATATTCTACCAATGCCAACTAACAGTCAAATGTTTTATATTTGTTATCTCCAATTCATAAATCCATAAGCTGGCATTTATGTGCTACTTAAATCATCCCACTTTACCAATAAGGCAATTCAGCCTCTGCTAGAGAGGGCGAGGAACTTTCTTCTGGTCATCCAGCCGGTAAGTGGCAGAGCAGATATTGGTACAGCCCAGTTAGAGTTAGTTCTTCCTTCTGCTCCTTCACAACTTTGTTCATACACACTGAGTATCACTGATGATGAACCTGGTTCCCCCGACAGACAGCAACTTCTTGAGAGCATGGCCTCCATCTTCCATAGCTACCTTTAAGGGAACACTCACTATATGTGTTAGGCATAGGAGTTGGTGTTGCACATTTTCCAGATGGGGAAATCGAGGCTCAACGGGATTAAATGACCAAGGTCTGATGCTAAACCTTATCCCCCATGTGACAGTGCACGATATGTAGTAAGTACTCAAAACACATTTGTGGGAAGTGAGGGGAGTGAGGAGACTGGGTTGCTCCTGGGCTTCCGATCTCCCACCATCTCCAGCCAGGGGCTGTGAGGCAGCTGTTTACCTGCCTCAGGTTGGGTGGGAGCTGACAGACAAGGTGGAGTGGAGGAGACACTCCAGCTGGAAAGGCCCAGCTTCTGGTCCTGGCTCAGCCTCCATCTAGCTGGATGACCTTGGGCAGGTCTCTCCTCGAAGATCCTCCTTCTCTTTGTGTAAGGTGAAGGGATGCAATTGCTACAATCCTACCAAGCAGTGTCCAGTGAGATCCAAAATGACTCTAGACAGAAAAGGGCAGTCCAAACCCCTGTGGGGCCCAGTACCCGTTCAGGAGCCCAAAACCCAGAGCCCCACTCCACATTCCTTCTAACTCCATCTCGGCACAGCTTAAGAGCATCTCAGCACACCAAGCATGCTGCGTGCTTGGTGACTAAGGCAGGCCTCTGCCCTGAACTGAGTGAGTGCCTACTCTCTGTGGCTGGACCCTGAGAATCCTGCACTCAAAAAGATGCTGAGATGAGCTTTCACACCGTGGGCCTTACCTTGCACATATTCAAGCTAAATTTCAGACCTGTTGTCCTTGCCTGGGGCCCACAGGAGATCAGTTTCATCTGGGGTTTCTCATAGCCCTGCCCCCACACACACCCCCACCCCCACCCCCACACACACACAAGCTGTGGCCAGCTGAAAAGTGTTTAGATCAACAGCAAGCTTCATCAACTCTTTTCCACCTCCAACCCTTACTAAACATGTCAGGCAACAGGAGCCCCAGGGCTGACCTTTGCAGCATCTAATGTCATGGCTGTTATTACAGACACAAATAATAGACAGAATAATAACCTGTGGTTAAATAATGTCCTTTAACCAGAGGGTTCGGAGCACTCGGGAATGTTATCACCTCATGGCCCACCTGACACACTTGCCCACGTGCCTTTTCTTCAAGACCCTCAAGTCCCTCTTCCAGGCTCCTGCCTTCTGGAAAGCCCTCCTTCACATTCCCTCTAACTCTATCTCAGCACAGCTTAAGAGCATGGTTCCCAGGTCTTAGCCAGGAGCTGCTCTGAGTGACAGCCTTATGGAGGAGGTTGTTCAGGTGTCAAAGATCTTATCTCCCACAGTGGCCTATAATCCTGAGCATGTCCCATCACTGACCTATTTCCTATATACTCAGAAGCAAGAATGTGTTGAAGTGTTTTCAACCACTAAAAATGGGGGAAATGAGACAAATATAATTTTGAAGCTCTTAAGTGGCTCGCTACAGTTGTTGGTCCTCCCCGTTCCTGGTTGGCCACAGGCACCACTTGTAGAAGTTATCTGCAAATACAAACTTTCTTACAAAATTCTTTCCCTTAAGGTACAGGCGAACTTTGCTTCTAGATGCTATTGGTTTCTTTCTTGCTTTCTTTCCTCTGATTCTTTCTTCCTTTCTTTCCATCATCTAAAAATCAGAATTCCTTTGAGCTGGAGCTGAAAAAAGAGAGAGAGAGAATTAATGGGAAAAAAGAAAGAAAAATCAGATTACATTTGCTGTCATACCAGAAGTACCCAGTTTATGGCCAAGAAAAAGCTAACCTACCCCTGGAAATGCCAAAACATTTTGGGAGCCTCAGAAAATCACAATGTATGGACCAAATAGCTTTTTTCGAATTGCTTTGGAAATAAACCTGCAGGCAGGAAAAGATTATCTGGAGTGAGAAAGAAATGTACAAGGAGGTGGGGAGATAAGTGGAGATTAGAAAGACCTAGTCTTTTTCATACCTAGAGGCACAAGATTAAAAAAAAAAAAAAAGACCTAGTCTTTTTAATATACAGCCTTGGCCAGGCTCGGTGGCTGATGCCTGTAATCCCAGCACTTTGGGAGGCTAAGGCAGGCAGATCACTTGAGGTTAGGCATTACAGAGCAGCCTGGCCAACATGGTGAACCCATCTCTACTAAAAATACAAACAATTAGCCGGGCATGGTGGTGGGCATCTGTAATCCCAGCTACTCAGGAGGCTGAGACAGGAGAATTGCTTGAACCCAGAAGGCAGAGGTTGCGGTGAGCCACACTCCAGTCTGGGTAACAACAGCGAAACTCCATCTCAAAAAAAAAAAAATTAATAATAATAATAATAATATACAGCCTTCCCTCTGAAACAATGGTTGTGGCTTCACAACAACATGTAAATAATGTGTGTTCTGAAATATTTTCAACTCTTTAAAAAGGAAAGGACTGACAGGGCTTGGTGGCTCACACCTATAATCACAGTACTTTGGGAGGCCAAGGCAGGCAGATCACCTGAGGTCAGGAACTTGAGATCAGCCTGGCCAACATGGCAAAACCCCATCTCTACTAAAAATACAAAAATTATCTGGGTGCAGTGGCACGCACCTGTAATCCCACCTACTCAGGAGGCTGAGGTAGGAGAATCACTTGAACCCGGGAGGCAGAGGTTGCAGTGAGCAGAGATCGCACCATTGCACTCCAGCCTGGGTGACAGAGCCACACGCTGTCTCAATAAAAAAAAAAAAAAAAAAAAAAAAAAGGAAAGGACTATGGAACAGGAGGGAAGGCCACTGCCTGTGTTTAACTCATCTATGAATATCCATTTGCCTAGCTCCCTGTGAAAGAATCAGGGAAGAATCAGAGATCGCAGATCCAGGTGTACGCTGGACAAGATGGGGAGGGGGCTGGGGTGGGAGCTTCTACCTGGACAAGGTGAGATGCAGAATGCACAAAACATGAGGAGAAAGGAGGGGGCAAGAAGAGCAGAGCGAGAGTGAGCAAAATCCAGGTGCTGCTGTTAGAGAGGTAAGAGCAGGGCACACCTGAGTGGGTGTCAATGGCCCATTCTCAGGAGAGTGTGCTTTAATCCAGAGCTAAATTGGGAAGAACCTGGAGCCCAGAAGAGAAACTCAGTTTTCTTAGGCCTCTCAGGGGCTGGAGACAGCTAACTAACCCTAAGTTCAGGTGTAGCCCCTCAAGGGTCGGGTTCTCGAGGAGGGTCCCGTGCCTGAGAAAGGGAGTTCCCAGAAGAGGCTATGTAATTTGATAAATTAAACCCACCTTCAAATCTTGCTCTACCAATGACACTGAACTTTTTGCAAGGCTGGCCACATATGGAGTGGCTCTGATTTGAACATTTTCTCATCTGTAAAATAGGAAAATTAGCAATATCTATGAGGCAAGGTTCTCCTGAGAAACAGAACCAATGAGATGTATGTGGAAGAGATTTCTTTTCTTTGTTTTTTTGAGAAGGAGTCTCACTCTGCCTCCCAGATTCCAGTGATTCTCCCATCTCAGCCTCCCAAGTAGCTGGGATTACAGCTACCCACCACCATGCCCAGCTAATTTTTTGTATTTTTAGTAGAGATGGGGTTTCACCCTGTTGGCCAGGCTGGTCTGGAACTTCTGACCTCAAGTGATCCACCTGCCTTGGCCTCCTAAAGTGCTGGGATTACAGGCATGCGCCACCGTGCCCGGCCAGGAGAGATTTCTTATAGGGAACTGGCTCCTGTGGTTATACAGGCAGGAGAGCCTCAAGATCTGCAGCGTGAGTTGACAAGCTGAGACCCAGGAGAATCAATGGCCTCATTCTAGCCCAAGTCCAAGTCCAAAGGCCCAAGAGCCAGGAGAGCTGATGTCCCATCAGAGGAAAGACCCAAGAACCAGGAGAGCTGATGTCCTACCAGAGGAAAGGGTCCAAAAGCAGGGAAAAAGCCAATGTCCCTTCTCAGAGGTTGTCAGGCAGGAAGAATCCTGTCTTACTTAGGGGAGGGTCAGCCTTTGTTCAATTCAGGCCTTAAACTGATTGGACGAGGCCCACCCACAAACTAGGGAAGAAAGATGCAGTCCATCAATTTCAGTGTTCCTCTCAGCCCTCCAACACCCTCACAGAAACACCCAGACTAATGTTTGACCAAATAGCTGGGCATCCTGTGGCTCAGTCAGGTTGACACATAAAATTATCCCTCACACAAGGTTACGTTGAGGATGGACTAAATGAAATTGCATCCGTGGAGGAGCTTGGTAAACTGTGTAGATGGTAGGAAGTTGAGTTGATCACTGCACACCTGTGCCTCCTTCTTGGCCTGAAATTTTGGTCTGTTCTCTCAAAGATAAAGTATGGCCTTGTGCTGAGGGACAAGGGATGTGGCAGCCATGGAAGGGAAAGGTAAGGGGTGGAGCAACTGACAAATGTATCTGTGTATGGAGCCAGGATGCCAGCACCTGGAGGAACTTTGCACTCATGAAAAAAGACAACTAGAGGGGCCGAAGCAGAGAGCTGTCCAGGGAGAGCAACCAGGTAGGGTCTGGCTCCTTGGTGGCCTTTCCCCTGAGGAGCCACAGTGGAGACATTCTCAGCCCATCCTTGTCATGGTCTCTCTGGCCTGCTATTCCTATCAGTCTCATGCAGGAAAGTGCCAGGGCCAGGGGTTCATCCATTTCCTCATGTTCCCTCAAGCTAAAGGTTATGGGTATAATGGGTACACACACACACACACACACACACACACACACACACCCTATAAAGCTAGATTAAATTAGACAAGGATTCAAAATCTTATCAGAAGCAAGGCAAGGCTGGCTGGGTGTGGTGGCTCACGCCTGTAATCCAGAACTGTGGGAGGCCGAGGTGGTCAGATTGCCTGAGCTCAGGAGTTCAAGACCAACCTGGCCAACATGGTGAAACCCTGTCTCTACTAAAAATACAAAAATTAGCCAGGTGTGGTGGTGTGCACCTGTAATCCCAGCTACTCGGGAGGCTGAAGCAGGAGAATTGCTTGAGTCTGGAAGGTGGAGGTTGCAATGAGCTGAGATTGCGCCACTGCACTCCAGCCTGGGTGACAGAGGGAGACTCTGTCTCAAATAAAACAAGGAAGAATCAGCAGCAAAGCAGGAACACAGGCAGTACCACCCCTGGGCTTCCTTTGGCTCTCAGGATTATGGAGGAGGCAGGGAGCAGACACCTGCCTCAATACCTGGCAAATAGGATCTCACTGGAAAGCTGGATTTATCTTGTGGCACCACCCTATTACAGTAGGGTTTACATCATGGTTCCAGAAGGATTTACTCTTAGCAATCTACCAGCAAGTCAAGAGAATGTTCATAAACACGGCCTCTCCTGGTTCTGGATCTGTCTTGATACATCCCCAGGGTCACATCCTGATGATGTAGCTAAGCGGAACCAGTGCTCCAGAGTCCCTGAACAGTATGTGCGCCCGACCTTCCAGCAAGCACATGCCCCGAAGATGCCCTGAAAACAGAGTCATGTGTTGTTCGAGGGAGGGGCAGTGCCTTCAGGACCGGGCAGGCTGCTGGGACTCCACGCTCAGGACCACACCCGGAGCAAGGAGGGTGGTGTGTCAGGAGGAAGTGAGGGGCGTTCCCACCTGCCAGTCAGCAAGCATTTACTGAGCACTTGCTTAGTCTGAAGGGTCAGGTGGACTGTGGTTTAGAACCCAGTTCTGGTGTTTGCTTCCTGTGACACCTTGGGCTAGTCTAAATTCTCTCTTCTTAACACTGCACTTCTCAACTCTGGCTAAAATTACTTGATGAACTTCAAAAATAACTATACCTGGACCCCAAAGCTGACCAACAAAAACAGACTCTCTGGGAGGGACCCAGACATTAGTAGGTTAGAAACTTCCCAGGTGATTCGGCTCAAATATGCATCTCTGTATTCTTTTTTTTTTTTTTTTTTTTAAGACAGAGTCTGGCTCTGTTGCCCAGGTTGGAGTGTAGTGGCATGATCTCAGCTCACTGCAACCTCTGCCTCCTGGGTTCAAGCAATTCTCATGCCTCAGCCTTCTGAGTAACTGAGATTACCGGCGCACACCACCATGCCTGGCTAATGTTTTGTATTTTTAGTAGCGACGGGGTTTTGCCATGTTGCCCAGGCTGGTCTTGAACTCCTGAGCTCAGGCAATCCGCCCGCCTCGACCTCCCAAAGTGCTATGATTACAGGCGTGAGCCACCGCGCCCAGCTGCATCTCTGCATTTTCTAACTTGCTGCTTCTAGTCTGCCCAGTTTGGTAACCAGATAACCAGGCTTATTAGGGAAGTGTGGAAGGCGGGGAGGGGTATTAAATCAACCAATTTAATGTACCTCCAAATTCAGATTGGAGCCCCTGAGGCAAATACAAGGAGGCAGATTTTGGTTCAGGCTAAAAACCAAGGCCATGTCTTCATGACCAGCCTATGTACCATACAAGATGAGCAGTTTGTGTAAATTTTTATTGAGTATGCCTAATTTTGCCCACCTCGAGGACTTACCTAGTTTTTGGCTGTTTCCAGAAGTCAAATCCATTCCCAAGAGTTATCTCAGTGCCACTCTCTGTAATAGCAAGTTCCGAGACCTCACTGAGTTACCAGCTTCTTCCCTGCGAAGGTCACGGTGATCACCCGCATGCCATGCTGTGAAGAGATTTCAATGAAATAATGAAAGAGTGTGACGGCTCTGGATTGCGCTGGCTGAACCTGATCAAAGGTAGACCCTCACCCCGGCAGTGAGATCTTAAAGGACTGCATTCATTCCTGGCTCTGAAAGTCATTCTAACCCTTGTTTTGAAGTCAGATGACCTGAGTTCAGACCCAGTAGTGATGTGACTCTCTAAATCTCAGTTTCCTCATCTGTTATTGAGGTTGTGAGGGTCAAATGGGCTAATACCCAGAGGCCTCTTAGCACAGAGCCTAACATTTGGCAGATGCTCCATAAATGTTGATACCTTTAATTACCCTTGAAGCCTAGAGCTTGCCTAGGTGCTTTTGAAGGCAATGCTTATTTGGATATACAAGTCCAGAGCATTTGTTATGAAATCAGCCCACCAGTCTGTGGTCATAGCTCATTCATAGGTTCTTTAACTTCCATTCAAGTCCAGGTCCAAGCCTCTGGAAGTTCCGCTCCTGCAGAGCTTGTTTGGACATGAGAACAGAAGCCAAGGGAAGTATTTTCTTTGGAACAAAAAACACAAAGGGGACAAGGATGGATTTCTGGAGGCGCTCACCATTTTACAGAAAGGAGTCATCTGTTTCTCATAAGATGGGGTGTGGGAAGTGGAATCTATTTTCCTGGTCTGTCTGGAGTAGCTTCTTACTAGTCTGGCCACAGCTCCTGCAGTTCAGGACTAGGCCCTACTGCAGCCAGGGCTACACTTTGAAAATGGACTTGAATTCATTTTGAGTCTTCAAAGGTTAGGCTGGAAGTCTCTCCAGTTGCTCCCATCCTCTCCTCCATAATTGAATGGGTGTGCATGCGCCTGGATGTGTGAGAGCACAGAAGAGTGGGAGGACGTTGTGGGGGAAGGTGTCCAGGTGAGCAGGCCTCAGTTCCTGGCTCTGGAAGAGACTGCAGTCACCCTGAGCTGACTTTCTAAAGGCTTAAGCTCTCCAGTTCCTCTCTGTGGGATTCAAGAAATCACTTTCCTGATTCAGCTGAAAGAATCAGCCTGGTTGCAAAAGCCCCCATACATAACCACATCTTGGACCATTATTAAAAAGGAAACGGTGGCAAGGCATAGTGGCTCACTTCTGTAACCTGAGCACTTTGTGGGGCTGAGGCAGGCAGACTGCCTGAGCCCAGGAGTTCGTGACCAGTCTCGGTGGCATAGCAAAACCCCATCTCTAAAACAATTAGCTGGGCATGGTGGTGCACACCTGTAGTCCCAGCTACTCCGGAGGCTGAGGTAGGAGGATCGCTTGAGACCAGGAGGCAGAGGTTGCAGTGAGCTGAGATCACATCATTGTACCCCAGCCTGGGTGCCAGAACAAGACCCTGCCTCAAAAAAAGAAAAAGGTGGGGAAAGGTGCTTTTCCATAGAGTTTTTTTCCTACATTTTGAGGCTTCGAGTTCATGATTGTTCCTAGCACACCACCATTTCATCCAACTTTGCTTCAAAAAACAAAAAAAAAGGCACCCACAGATTAGAATATTTATTTTATTTATTTTTTATTATTTTGCATTTATTTTGTTTTTATTGAGTCAAGGCATGGCCTAAATGAGGTTCAGGAGCCCTACTGAAGGCTGATATTCCCAAATGTTTCCCTTGGGCTTCTTGACACTGAGGGGGTGAGATCATTGTGAGGCAAGAAGGCCCCCTTTCCACACATACCCACTCCCCAGCCATTCAGTCCCCATCTCTATCCCCAGCAGAAGGGAGGCCAGTTGGTGGAGGTGGGGTGGGGAAAGTGGAGTTGCCACAGCTTGTTGCAAATGGAAGATGGATGTCAGTATCACATCTCTCAGCAGCCTCAAATTACTGCCCCAGGATTTATATGAAAAGAGATGGGAAGTGTGGAGAGACAGAACTCATAATACTTGCAGTTTAATAAGTATTGTGCATCTGTTTCCATGAGGAACTCTTGACGTCACTGTTATGCCTCAGAGGGCCACAGGAAGGTCTGGTCAGGTGGGCTTCTTTGCCTTTGCCAAGAATGTACTACCTTGCCAGAAGAGAACAGGAATCTCACATTTCATGAGCTCATCTCATGAGCCAACATTGAGCTAAGAGCTTCTCACAATCCCTTGTTAAATCTTCACCACAAATATGGGCAATACGTGTTATTATCCCAGAGGAGGGGCACCTGAGACTCAGGCTGTATGCTGGACAGGACAGGTTAGGTTGTGCTGCAGTAACAAACAGTTCTAGGGCCAGGCGTGGTAGCTCACACCTGTAATCCCAGTATTTTGGGAGGCTGAGGTGGGCAGATCATGAGGTCAGGAGTTCAAGACCAGCCTGACCAACATGGCGAAACCCCATCTCTACTAAAAAAATACAAAAATTAGCCAGGTGTGGTGTCATACACCTGTAATCCCAGCTACTGGAGAGGGTGAGGCAGGAGAATCGCTTGAAACCAGGAGGTGGAGGTTGGAGTGTGCAATGAGCCACAAGCATGCCACTGCACTCTAGCCTGGGCAACAGAGCAAGACCCCATCTAAAAAAGAAAAAAAAACAGTTCTAAGAATCTCAGCAGTTTCACACAACTGGTGTGTATTTCCCCTTCACACAGCCACCTTCCAAGCAGGGACTCAGTGATCCTGGCTGCTGTGATCTTTGGGTCCCCCAATATCAACACAAGGCCTCCTCTACAATTGCCATGAGAGGGGAAGAGAGAGACCGGAGAATCATGCATGAGTATTTCACTAGCCTGAAAGCGAACTTTCTCCATCATTTCATTGGTCAGAACTAGCTCCATGGCTCTACCCAACAGCAAGGGAGCTGAGATGTCCAATCTCCCACGTGCTAGGAAGCGGGGAGGTCTATTGGTGAACCAAGTTCTATCTAAAGCCAAAGTCCCAGCTCTGTCCATGACACTCAGGGCCAGTGAGAGGAATCCCTTCCCTCCAGCCTCAGCTGAAAGCATTGTATGAGAGTGTCCCTTGTGTGGCTTTGCTGGGCACACTTGAAATCATCACTTTACAGAACTAGGCCCTTGTTGTTCCACAAAACCCCACCATCTTCAAAGCATTTAAATGTGCACTGGTTCACCAAATCCACAAAACACCATGAGGAAGTGGCCAGGAAAGTTATTCATAGCCCCCCTTTTCTAGCTCAAGAGCTGAAATCAGGAGGGTTACAAGACTTGACACACTCAGGGCAAGTAACTGAAGCACCTAGACCGCAACCTCTGCTTTCAAAAGCTTAATCTGAAGCTCCTCTCAATACACCAAATTTCTGTAATTTTAGAATGTTAAAAGGCCACTCTCTCCCCAAAATATCTCTTTGACCTGCTCACTAATGCCTAAAATTCCACTGCTAAAATGCCATCCCTTCAGTGGGCCCTCCTCTAGAGGAAATGAAAGTAAGAGGGAAGTCATCATCAATGCGCATGAAACAACCACACGATCAAGTCATGAAACCTTCAGTTAAAAACCATTTGAGATTGAATTTAGAGAATGTGCTATATCATGATAATCTCAAAAAGAAAGAATTTAGAGGCCGGGTGCAGTGGCCTCCCAGCACTTTGGGAGGCCAAGGCGGGCAGATCATGTGGTCAAGAGATTGAGACCATCCTGGCCAATATGGTGAACCTCCGTCTCTACTAAAAATACAACAATTAGCCAGGCATGGTGGTGGCACCTCTATTCCCAGCTACTTGGGAGGCTGAGGCAGGAGAATCACTTGAACCTGGGAGGCGGAGGTTGCAGTGAGCCAAGATCAAGCCACTGCACTCCAGGCTAGCAACAGAGAGAGACTCTATCTCAAAAAAAAAAAAAGAAAGAAAGAAAAAGAAAAGAGAGAGACGTCGGTGAATGGCAGAGTCAAGGAAGGCTCCATGAGAAGCTGCTGGCCCTGGTTAAGATGTGGACAGAAGAGGGAAACTTTAAAGTCCCTTTTCTCATCCTATTGACCCTTGCATCCCACTCCCCAGGGACAATGACTGCTAACAGTTGGTCACATGATATATATTCATTTTGGGTGAAACTCCATTCCAGATGACAATTCCCTCCCAATTCTCTTTCCTCTATTAAAAAATCTACAGAGTGCCTTTACCTTTACCATATTATTTAATTCCGTGAGCAGTTATGTTAGGAAATTGAGAGGTTGGATGGATCTTTCTTTCTGTTTGACAAAAAACTGAAACCTACTGAGGCTAAAGTGACTTATCTAATATCAGAGCAAACCAGTGACTAAACTTGAATAAAGAAGTAAAAATGTTAAAGAGTAATAATTATCAATCCTCAAGAGCATGTGGTGAAGCTGCCACATGTATAGCTACCTAATAGTCTATAAACTAGCACATCTTGTAAAACCTGAAGCTGGCCAAGTGTGGTGGCTCATGCTGTAATCCTAGCATTTTGGGAGGCTGAATCGAGAGGATGGCTTGAGCCCACAAGTTCCAGGCCAGCCTGGACAATATGACAAGATGTTGTCGCTACAAAAAATACAAAAATTAGCCTTGTGAAGTAGTGCGCATCTGTGGTCCCAGCTACTCAGGAAGCTGAGGTGGGAGAATCACCTGAACCTGGGAGGTCGAGGCTGCAGGGAGAGTGTACCACTACACTCCAGCTTGGGTGACAGAGGGACACCCTATCTCTCTCTCTCTCTCTCTCTCTCTCACACACACATACACACACACAGACACACACACACACATACAAATTAAAAACCCAAAGCTTTATTATAAAATATTTAATATAGATAACAGAATTTATGTAATGCATATATGTTTAGAATAATAAAACAACATATTTACCACCTTGCCAATGTCCTAAACACTATGATTCTTTAATTTATAAAAATAATATGTGGCCAGACACTGTGGCTCACGCCTGTAATCCCAGCATTTTGGGAGGCCGGGGGTGGTGGGGTTGGTGGGGTGGATCACTTGAGGTCAGGAGTTTAAGACCAGCCTGGCCAACATGGCAAAACCCCATCTCTACTAAAAATACAAAAATTACCTGGACATGGTGGTGCACATCTGTAATCCCAGCTACTCGGGAGGTTGAGGTGGGAGAATCGCTTGAACCCAGGAGGTAGAGGTGGCAGTGAGCCAAGATCGCACCACCACACTCCAGCCTGAGCAACAGAGCAAGACTTAATCTCAAAAAAATAAAAATAAAAATAAAAAAGGTATACCCTAGGTAAAAAAAAAAAAAGAAAAATCAAGTACTTTAAAAAAATTATTTATTCATTTGTTTTAGACACCGGTTCTCTCTCTGTCATCCAGGCTGGCGTGCAGTGGTGCAATCATAGCTCACTGCAGCCTCGACCTCCTGGGCTCAAGCAATGTTCCCTCCCACTTCAGCCTCCCAAGTAGCTGGGATTGCAGGTGCGAGCCACCCCACCTGGCTCGGAAAATGGAAACTTTAAAATCGCTTTTCTCATGCTGTTGACCCCTGCATTCCACTCCCCAGGGAAAATGACTACTAACAAATTTGCTACATCATACATATTCATTTTGGAAAGCAATCCACCAACATATATTGAAAGTCATAAATATGTTTGTAACTTCTGATCCTATTACCCATTCTGGGAATTTATTCCTAGAAAAGACCTCCCTGTCTTCCTTCCTTTCTTATAAAAATGGCCAAGTTCATTCCTACACATCTTTCCCTTCGCTGTTTTCTGTCTGGAAACCTGTTCCTCTGGATTTGCTCATGATCTGATGTTCAGTGAGGTCTCAGCTCAAATGCCACCACCTCTGAGAGGCCACCCATGGTCACCTGTCTATACTTGTTCCCTCCCCACTACATCACTGCCTTTTATTGTGCCCTGCACTATTTTCTCCCTTGCACCTACCATTCTCTGAGGTCACCTTGTTTAATTGCCAGCTCACTAATTTATTGTATCTCCTCTCCTACCCCCTCATAAGTCCCTTGAGAGAGGGCCTTTGTAGGCTCCCTTGCTGTCTGCTGCGCCCTCAGTACCTGGCATATAGTAAGAATGTAGGTCTTAGTTGAAAGGATATGTCTGTTCATGAAGCTACTCAGGTAAGAGATGTTATTTCACTCACCTTGAAACCCAGGCAGCTACTTCTGCAGAGAAATAGTTCTTGCCAGCTTCCAAGACTCTAAGGAACCACTGTGTGGGATGTCAGGCAGGCCTAATGGCCATGCCGTCATTTCTCTCAGCAGAATGGGTGCCTTTCAGATATAGACACAGCAAAGCCAACAGTCTGTCCTCTCTCTAAACCCTTTTCATTATTGGCTTCTAAAACAAAGAAGAGGTAAAGAAAATCCTCTGGGCCAAGGGCTCTGTCAAAGAACACCCAGGCTGCACTTAATTAAGATGAATAATTTAAAGACTCTCAAGTCAGACAATGGAAACATTAAGAGTTTCCACCAAAACATAAACTTGGCCAAGTGAGCCAAGTCTCCGGAAGCCTCCAAGGACTTTCTCAGAAATGGAGGGATGGGTGTCTGCTTAGCCTGGGGGTGGGGAGGAGAGTTTTAGGTGGAGAGAAGGTCGGAGAAAGGGAAACCTGAGTTCTCAGCTGAGCTGCACACACGTGCTAGACTGTTTAGGCTGCATGACTCTCCATAACTTGTTTCTTTATAATGAAATAAAACATGTTACTTAATCAAAAGAAAACGCAAAATCTCACGTAATCCTACCATCCAGAAAGGCAGTCTTTTTGTCGTGTCTCCTTGTAGTGTTTTTTTCTGGCATAAATACACTTTATCACAATAAAAATGTGACTTACTACATATTGCCTCACATATTGCTTTTTGTTTTTGTTTTTGAGACAAAGTCTCACTGTGTTGCCCAGGCTGGAGTGCAGTGGCATGATGTTGGCTCACTCCAACTTTTGTCTCCCGGATTCAAGCTATTATCCTGCCTCAGCCTCCCAAGTAGCTGAGATTATAGGCACCTGCCACCATGCCTGGCTAATTTTTGTATTTTCAGTAGAGACAGCGTTTTACCATATTGGTCAGGCTGGTCTTGAACTCCTGATCACAGGTGATCTGCCTAACTCAGCCTCCCAAAATGCTGGAATTATAAGCATGAGCCACTGCTTCCAGTCACTTTTTTCACCTAATAATATATTGTGAACATGTTCTCATGCCGTTAGATACTATTTGACATGTTTTTTTTTGTTTTCTGCTTTGTTTTGTTTTCAGACAGAGTCTCGCTCTGTCACCCAGGCTAGAGTGCACTGGCGCGATTCCGGCTCACTGGAACCTCCGCCTCCCGGGTAGCAATTCTTATGCCTCAGCCACCCAAGTAGCTGAGATATCAAGCACATACCACTATGCCCGGCTAATTTGGTATTTTTGTCTTACTCTATTCTGGCTTCTCTCTACTCAATGCAGTCTCCTTGGGAGACTGTGAGGAACCTTCCACCCCAGTTACTCCCTCTCCGAGACTTGCTTCATGCTTCTTCCCCGAACTCACTGCCCGATTTGTCACACCAGAGATTGGACTCTCTGCTACCTGCTCCTATGTAAGCTCTGTGAGAGCAGGGCCTTGTCTGCTTCATGCACAGCTGACCTGCAGACCCCAGCACAGTGCCTGGCACATAGCAAGTGTTAAATGAAGAAATGAATGAACCAATGAATGGACACATGTTGCCTGGGACACTCTGGACACATGCTGTGGGGACGGTAGCTGGGCTCAGGCTGATCTGCCTAAGAGGCTGCAGTGCCCCTTGGAGCTGCTTCTGGAGAAGCTCCTAGTCACCTGGGCCATGGCTGCTGTCCTTGTGTCTGGCTCCCAGAGATCCCCAGGCCAGCCCTGTGTGCTACTTGGAGCTTCATCTCCTTCATTCCTGTACCTGGGTCTCCAGAGGCCTAGTCACAGGCAAGGCTTTCTCCACCCCCACCCCCAGGTCAGTCTATGAACTAGGAGCACGAGGAGGACTGAACCATCACCCACACCCTTTCCCACTTGGTCTAGTCTCCCTGGAGGATGGTGTGAGTTCCAGCACGGTCCTTTGAGCAAGCTGAGATGTTAGAGAAGCCGCTGCCAGAGACTGAACTGTGTTCCCAAAGTTCCTACCTTGAAGCCTTAACCCTCCTCGTGACTGTATTTGGAGACAGGTCCTTCAGGGAGGTGATTATGGCTAAAGGTGGGGCTCTAGGCCAACAGGATTAGTAAGAGGTATGAAAGAGTGAGCATACCCTGTCTCTGATTCTGTCTCCTTCTCTTTCTTTCCCTTCTTTTCCCTTCCTTCTCCCTCTTCCTTCAGCTCTCCCTGCCCTCTCCCTATCTTCTCCTCCCGAACCACCCTGTCCCTCACAGAAGAGCTCATGTGAGCACACAGCAAGATGGCAGCCACTACAAGCCAAGAGGAGAGGTTTCAGAATGAAACCTGCCTTGCTGGCGTCTTAAACTTCCAGCCTCCAGAACTATGAGAAATAGACTTCTGGTGTTCAAGTCATCCAGCTTGTGGTATCTTGTATGGAAACCCGAGCAGTCTAACATACCTAGTTCTAGAGGCTGCTGCTTCAGGGATAGCTGGCTAACCTGGGAGAGGATTGGGGGAAGACGATAGATGATAGATAGATAGATAGACAGACAGACAGACAGACAGACAGACAGACAGACAGACAGACAGATAGATAGATAGATAGATAGATACATAGATACATAGATAATAGACGATACATGGATGATAGATAATAGATGGTAGATAGATAGATGATAGATACATACTGCTCCTGCCCTTTCCATTTGCATCCTTGAAATTCTGCCCTCAGAAATTCACCCTTAAGGAATGAGAGGAATGTAGCTGCCTCCTCCAAGAGGCTTCCCAGCCCTCACCTTGATGGGTCTCTCCCTCAGCTGAGATTCCTCTTTGTCCTCCTGGCCCTCAGCCCTTGCCTCCTCCAGCTCCTGGCCATTCTTTCATCTCAAGGGTACGTCCTTGGGCAGCTGGGCTTGTTCATTCCTCACACTGGCTTCCTCTAACTAGAGAAGTTTCTAAACCTTCCTGTGAAAAAAGAAAGAAATCCTGCAGGGAAAGGGGTTCAGGGTATAAGTTGTGCCACCCATCCCCAGAGTCTGATTCACCTGGTGTGGGTCTGTGCCTGAACTCTGTATTTTAAGCAAACACTCTGGCCTTCTTAAGACCCTCTGCTGAGCTTATGAAAGAGACTGTGTAAGAAAAGTGGATGCCTGGGCCTCACCCCAGAGATCCTGATTCCACTGCCTCTTCCTTGCCTTGTTGCTTCACCCACTTCTGAACCCCGATTCTGCTGTGCAGCCAGGGATGAGAGCCACGGACTTATGAGGTGTTTGGGGAACAAGCGTTGACCTGAATGAAGCTGCCGGGTTGACATGGGCATCCTTCCGGGAGGGGTGAGTCATTCAGCCACGCTGCCAGCTGTGAACAATTCAGTCTGGGGAAATACAAAGAGACATGGTCTCTCTCAGAGTTTCCATTCTGCATTGAAAGCTGGTGCTGGGAAGTGGCTGGGCAGCCAGGCCGGGTGCTGGGAGGAGGGCAGGGTGAGGATGGGGGAAGGGCTGCACCCACACTATGCCAGGCCGGCTCCAGGCACTGGCTGTGTCCAGCTGGTTCCATCTTTCCAGAAAATCTGCAAGGAAGGAATGTCATAGTGAGGACTGCTGAGTTGAGATGTCTGGCCAGGCATGTCCTAACCATAATATGGTCCTCCACCAGGAACTGTGCGGGGGCAGAAAGAGGGCTCGGTGATCTAGCCTCAGGCATTGGACTCTTGAGGGATGCAGTGGCCGGGGTGTCTTAGAAGCCTGCTGACCAGGGGTTAGGATACCTCCATCAACTGAGGGCTGAGGGTGAGTCCTGCCCCCCCCGCCCCCCCCACACACATCCTCTGTGTCTCATTGCACCTGCTCTGGCCTGATCACCCCTGACAGACTGTAAGATCCAGTGGAGGAGGACAGGGCAGGCCCCTCATCTGTATTTACTGCTCATTCCCACTTCCCCAGTTCAGGGCAGGCCCACAGCAAATCAAGCACTCAGGCTGTGAGTAGCAGGAGAGTTCTGAAAGGACCCAGGGACTGCAAAGTTGGAGGCAGCCTGGGATTGGAAAGGTGGCATAGAAAAGCCAGTGGTCTGGCCGGGCGTGGTGGCTCTTGCCTGTAATCCTAGCACTTTGGGAGGCCGAGGTGAGTAGATCACCTGAGGTCAGGAGTTCGAGACCAGCCTGGCCAACATGGCGAAACCCCATCTCTACTAAAAATACAAAAAAGAAAAAAAAAATAGCCAGATGCCATGGCACGTGCCTGTAGTCCTAGCTACTTGGGAGGCTGAAGCTGGAGAATCGCTTGAACCTGGGAGGTGGAGGTTGCAGTGAACAGAGATCGCACCACTGCACTCCAGCCTGGGCGACAGAGCAAAACTCTGTCTTAAGAAAAAAAGAAAAGAAAAGCCAGTGGTCCATAACACAGCCCAACGAGCCTCACTGAGTGGCTCTGGACTGGCCACTTCACCTGCCTGTGCCTCAGTGTTCCCATCTTTAAAATAGAGATGAATTGCATCTACCTCATAGCATTGCTGTGAGAAACAAATGAGGTAAAGGATGCAAGGCACCTGCTACATCACAATAACTAAATGACTGAAATACTGTTTGAACCCTTGTTATCACTATTGTCACCATTATGTTGTTACTATTATTGGTGCCTATTTCCTGGTTTGGCTCTGGGCAAGCAGTTACAGGCACCAGCTATGGACCTTGGACTTTGAGGTGGGCCTCTGCCCTGGGCCTCTTTGGTTTTCTTTCTGGTTCTGGGGATGGTTGGGCCAGGTGACATGTACAGCCAAGGACCTTGGTGGATGTGGGATTTGGAACCCAGTAAGCCCCTAGCGCCCAGCCTTGACTGCCTGTTAAAACTGTCTAGGGAACTTTAAAAAATCCTGATTTCCCATTAAATAAAAATCTCTGGGGGTAGGACTCAAGCATCAGGATTTTGTAAAGCTTCCCAGGAGCGTCCAAGAAGCAGTCAAAGTTGGCAACCAGTGCTCCAAGCTAATTTCTCATTCACAGGAAAGAAAGTCCTTTGGCACAAGGAGACTGGGCTTGAGAGTCAGAGGAGTTTAGCTCTTGACCTATCAGCTACAAAACCTTGGGTAAGTTCCTTTACTTACCCAAGTAAAGGGAAACGATCAGTCAGACTGTTTCCTCATTTGTAAAGTGGGGGATGGTACCCACCTAGCAGTTAATGAACAGCATTAAACTAAAAAGGGTGTCTGACACAATAGGCATTTAATATGAATTAGTATTATAGTCCTTGATGCGGTGTCCTTCTAACATGTCCAAGGAGATATTACAGCACACACACACACACACACACACACACAAGCAGTGTTCAAGTTCTGTTTCCAGGCTGGGTGCGGTTGCTCATGCCTGTAATTCTAGCACTTTGGGAGGCAGCCAAAGCGGGTGGATCACCTGAAGTCAGGAGTTCCACACCATCCTGGCTAACATGGCAAAACCCCTTCTCTACTAGAAATACAAAAATTAGCTGGGTGTGGTGGCAGATGCCTGTAGTCCCAGCTACTTGGGAGACTGAGGCAGGAGAATTGCTTGAACCCGGGAGGCGGAGGTTGCAGTAAGCTAAGATCACGCCACTGCACTCCAGCCGCGGCAATAGAGTGAGACTTCGTGTCAAAAAACCAACCAACCAACAAACAAACAAAGCAAACACTAATTCTGTTTCCTGAGGCACCTAAACCCTACTGTGAGCCTTGTCAGTTCCCCTCTTGCCTCCCATCATTGCCAACTAGTTTCTTGGGCTGGTAACGTTTATAAGGTGGTCCCTGGGTACCATCTTAGAACCCCGTTTGTGTCATCCTTGGATCCAATTTGTACAGCTCTGCTGCCACTGGTGGGTTCCGTGGGGCAGACCTTTCTCATACAGAGTCTTTAAATCACTGGATTAGGAATGGGCGAGGGTCCCTAATGCATTCACCCAGCCAAAGTTGCACAGCCTGATTAAAATGTTACGTTTCCTTGCTTTGGGCTAAAATCATGTCACCTCAAGCTGATTGGAAGCTATGGCAGCTGAATTACATTGGTTAATTCAAATGCAAAAATCAGTCATTATTTACGAAGTACATTTTTTTCCCCTCAACAAAATTCTCAAATTTCTAGAAAAAAAATCCTGGCAATACAAGGGATCACTGGAAATGACATGGTTGGGGACACCAGACAGGATCAATCAGGAAGTGGTGGTGGAGCCGCTTCAGCCAGTTCATGGTCAGAGCTTGGGGCTCAGGTTAAAACCATGATGCTGGCCGCGTGCCATGGCTCACGCCTGTAATCCCTAAACTTTGGGAGTCCAAGGTGGGTGGATCACCTGAGGTCAGGAATTCGAAATCAGCCTGGCCAACATGGCGAAACCCTGTCTCTACTAAAAATATAAAAATTAGCCAGGCATGGTGATGGGTACCTGCAATCCCAGCTATTCTGGAGGCTGAAACAGGAGAATCATTTGAACCCAGGAGTTGGAGGTTGCAGTGAGCCAAGAACAAGCCACTGCACTCCAGCCTAGATGACAGAGAAAGACTCCATCTCAAAGAATAAATAAATAAATAAAACCACCAGGCTGTGGCTGTTCTGGTGGAAGGGCTGACCTTGTACTCTGGGAAGTAGCAAGAGGCCACACCCATAAAACCTGCCTGCCAGCCTGGGCCAGGACTACTGTCTCAGGTGAGGGTGGGAGCTGAATGGCAGGGAAACCATCATTCAAGTTTTGCCTTAATAGACAAGATTATGATGATGGACACCTTTTCTGAGCTGCCACCGTGTATCAAGCATATTACATATTCTCTTGCTAAATTCTCCCAACAGCCCTAAGATTTAGGTATTAATGTCCCTAGAGAGAGTATTTTTATTCATTCATTCAAAAATATTTATTGAGGGGCCAGGTGCAATGGCTCACACCTGCAATCCAGCACTTAGGAAGGCCAACGTAAGAGGATCACTTGAGCCCAGCCAGCAGTTGGAGATAAGCTTGGGCAACATAGTGAGACACTGTCTTTAAATATATATATGTTTATTGAGCCCTTGCCATGTGGTCGGTCCTTTTTGGAAGCTGGGCATCTGGCAAAGCCAACATAGTCCCGGCCTCATGGAGTTTACGGTCTAGTGGAGAGGACTATATTCCTTGAATAATCACAGGTCAATGCAGCAGAATGCTTTTGGCAACATGCCAGATTGCACTGTTTCAAACAGCCCCTCTCTCATTCCTCCAAAACTGCTCCATAAAATACAAGAAAAACACTTGAAAATATACAGCTAAGCTCAAGAGAAAGGAAAACCCCAGATTCCAGAAATAGTTCCAAAAACTCAAAGCCAGAAAGTGGAGTGAGGACTAAGCCTATGGTTTGTGAAGTTTTGACTAGATACAGGCCCTAAGGCCTAGAGTCCAGAGTTCTAAGGCCCCTTCAAAAACAGGAGGCGGCCCCAAGCTGTGTGAGGCAGAAGAGTTGGAACTGATCCATCTGAATACAACTTGGAGCCTTGAGGAGTATCCCAAGAAAAGAAAGATTGGAAAAATTACCAACTGGGCCTGTAGAAGGAGCAAGTTTTCTCACTATAGAAGTCTTGGATGGGAGAAAAGTTCATGTGAAAGATGGAAAGGCAGGCCTGCCCTGCTTGGAGAAGAGAAATGGACTGCTCCCACCTCATCCCCTGCTTTGCATGCCACTGGTCCCAGGATTCCTGTGTCAAAAAGTTAATCAAAAAGCTAGTCCACAGGCCAGGTGCAGTGGTTCACACCTGTAATCCCAGCATGTTGGGAAGCTGAGGCAGGCGGATCACTTAAGGCCAGAAGTTTGAGATCAGTCTGGCCAACATGGTGAAACCCCTTCACCTGTAGCCTCTGAACCTGTAGTCTCAGTTACTTTGGAGGCTGAGGCAAGGAAAATCACTTGAACCCAGGAGGCAGAGGCTGCAGTGAGCCAAGATCATGCCACTGCACTCCAGCCTGGGTGACTGGAGACTCTGTGTCAAAAAAAGTCCAGAGCCTAGGGCCCTGACAGAAGCAAAACCCAAAGTACTCTGGACATTTTCACCACCCAGGCTCACAGGCATCCAATAGCAAAACAACCTTCCATTGGAGATATGCTCCCAACCAAAAATCACAAACCACAGGGAAACAAAGCACCGTTAGAGATAATCGGCAAATACAAAACCAAACCAAACCAAAACAATCAGAATCCATGCCCCAAGAAGCAGAAGTAGTAGAGAAACCTGAAGATATAAAACCATTTAAATCATTATAGAGAATTTTTATTTTATTTTATTTTGAGATGGAGTCTTGCTCTGTCACCCAGGCTGGAGTGCAGTGGTGAGATCTCAGCTCCCAGGTTCAAGTGGTTCTCCTGCCTAAGCCTCCTGAGTAACTGGGATTACAGGTGTGTGCCAGCACACTCAGCTAATTTTTTGTATTTTCAGTAGAGACGGGTTTTTACCACGTTAGCCAGGATGGTCTCGATCTCCTGACCTTGTGATCTGCCTGCCTCGGCCTCCCAAAGTGCTGGGTTACAGGTGTGAGCCACC